TTAATGCTTCTAGGTAAAATGATCTGAAAAATCTTACCGACTAGTTCTTTGACAATCAATAACTTGCGGTAATCTATCTCCAGAGCATATTTTGGACAATAAGGGAATAGAGAGTTCTGAGCCACATCTGATTTTGCATACAAATCTGCAAGGATGTTGTAAGACACTACTCGAAAACTGAAAGCAAAGACAAAGGAATTAATTCATTCTACGCTTGGTCCTTCTTCCTTGTCTCATTACGTCATGTAACTAACTTTCTGTCAATTTTATTTTGATAGAAGAAACAATTGACTGTTTTGACAACCTAGGTATGTGAAAGTTTGCTAGATTTTTTTTCCCTTCAAGAAAATGTTTCAAATATTACCAGTTTAAAAATTCCCCACAAAAATACGTTACATTGCTGTCTGATCCATTTCATCAGAGCAAAACGATTTCCTGGAATCATCTTAGAATTATTTATTGCCAGGAAAATAAAAGCTAAAGATAAAAAAAGAGAAAAGAAAATTTTGCGAATCAGCATTTAAGTTACATCAGTGGTGAGTGATCGGTTGAAAATTTCTTAAGGATAATGTAAGGAAGATTGGTTTCAAAATCGACATACCTGCTACATGGTAAAATTTTGGATGTAAATTTGTGCCTCAGTTCAAAAGGACATGTCCCTGGTCCAGCTTCTACACGCTTTTGTGAGACAAGCGAAACGGAGGGACCAACTCGGTCACCCGCCTTGGGTGTACAATCCAACTTCACATAGTGTCCGATGTCTGATGGCGCTGGTAAATATATGAATCCCTTTCCAGTTTGCTGAAATGAGCACTGAGAGGGATGTTTTTTCGTGTCTTCAGTGGAGATAGACCACACAAAATCACACTCTTCTTTGCTCGTAAAGCTTGCATCAAATTTCTTTGGATACACTGGGAATCCAACAAGAAATGTAGTAGGAATTGCTAGACCATTTATCCATGGCGGGTTGATAATAATTTTGTAATCAGTACCTAATATCCTAGCACTTAAATTTGGGCTCTCCTTTTGAAAAAACACATTGTTACAAGTTAGCTCTGGTGGAACTTCAGTGCCTCCATTCAGCACCTTGACATTGATGTCTGGCATCTCTATCTCTTCCCCTTTTTTCACTTTCTTTGCCACCTTGTAGGTAATGCTCTTTTCAACATTGCTCGAAATACGGAGCGTTAAGTCTCCGATGGTTTCAGTGCATCTTCGATTGAGATTAAAACTACGTTGAATATTCAGTGATTCAAACACTAACTCAAAGTTTACGCTGAAAGTTTCTGCACCCTCACTGAGTCGGATGAACATTTGTCTGCTTGTCATTTTGTTGAGGAGGCTGGAGGCGTAGCAGACGAGCTGTTCCAAAAGTATCCCTCTTGGCCTTAGAATAGAAAACTTTGAGTTGGGGATTCTGATGAAGAACATTACAAGTTCGGAGAGGGCCACATAAAATCCTGAAAAAACAAATTTTGAATAATTTAGAATTCAATGTGATGAAAAAGGTTTGGAAAGATACTGCTACTTGAAAAAAGAACCAATCAACGGACTGAGAAACTTTTCTCTTAGACTACAACACAGCAAAACTTTTAATGGATTCATCCCATTCACACTTCATGAGCACCAAAAATCAACCTGTTATTCTGGTTTTGACCTATCAATTTTTAATGATTCAATGATACTATTTCATAGAAGAAATTTTTACAAAAGACCCAATTATGGCACTTAAGGTGATTCGTCAAGCTCAAGTGACGTGATCGAAATGGCACGCAATGTATCGCATCGATTAGGTCAAAAAGCAGATTTTGAATTTTCAGCAAAAAAAAAGGGACAATTCCTAGCCCCTGCATATGAGCCTAAAGAATCATTCTAAACCCAAAAATTGCAAAATTCAGAGAAATGAAGGCAGAATAGGGTTTGGAAAAAAACCTTGCATTCGATACAGAAATCGATAGCTGAATCGAATGCAAGATTTTTTTCCAAACACAATTCTGCATTCATTTCTCTGAATTTTGCCAATTTTTGGGTTTAAAATGATCCTTTAGGCTCATGCACAGGGGCTATCGTCCTTTTTTTGCTAAAATTTCAAATTCTCCATGTCACTTGAGCTTGACAAATCACCTTCACTGCTCATGGGTTCCATATGGGCTTCTTGAATCTTTCCATATCAACTACTTTTTCATCAATCAAAAGCTACATGCATGGACGCTGCGAACACATGATACTTACTATGTTTTAGATGAACATGGACTCAATAATAGTAGGTTTTAAATTAACCACTCATTAACCAAAAAGTAGGTCCAAGAAAACCTTAAACACATATTCTCATATCCAAGTTCTTCATGGGCTTCAAAAATCAGTTTCAGATTTGCAACTCATTAATTAAAAACTAGTAAAAGAATCCCACAAAGACTTATTTTTATCTTTCAGCCATTAGTGGATTTCGCAGGTAAGTACCCATAGAGAAAACAAGTAGCAAAAGCTACCTGCTGAGGGGGCGCCGCCCCCCCAGACCCCCCCTTTCAAATTATATATGTGAGACTTTGAGTATCATAGAAGTCGTGCGGCGACATGCCGAATGAAATGCCAAAATTAAAATTATTGGATCAGATGATGAGCTGATAAAAGCCTTACCCAGTAATTTGGGAACATTTCTGACACAGTTTGGTTGCTTTAACTATCACTTTGATTTGCGGAATACAAATCGTTTTCACTTCGTATGTAGTTAAATTTGATTTTGACTGACTTAGTTTC